AGACACTGGGCGGCGTTGATCGCGCCTGTCACCAGGAGTACGGAGCGCCTGGCGACAGTAAGTAGCAATTAAGCGTGTTTTCACGCGCCACGCACCAGCACGGAGAGCACGCTGTAGTTACTTGCCGTAGGTGTAGTCGGGTGTTGTGGCTCGGCCCTTACACTTCTTAATGCCTGGTGGCTGGGCATAGGCCTACGCCTCGAGTGTTAAAGTGATTTACGTCACGAATTATCTAGCAGGCCATCAAGTAGTACAGTTTGTGTGTTTATTTGCTAGCAAATAATAGTATGAAATACAATTAGTGTTTGTGTTTACCTTTTCATGCTTATATACCTTGCTGTATATGGCCCTAAATTTCCGACTGTCTGAAAACAAGAGAGACGCCAGTTCTGGAACAGTACTGGGGGATAGTAGTGTTAGACAACAGAAATTACCCCAAATCGTCTTTAGATTTTTTTGCATAAATTTAACCGAACGTAAAAACATTTTTATCAGGTGAGAGTTGAGGATATATTTAGTAAACGTTAGTTTCTTACTTTTAAATGTAAAAAATGGGCAATTTTCTTTTTTTACAAATTTTACTATAGAAATCGTGAACGCTGAGTCCCTTTAAGGGGGTTGTTGGATTAGAGGTCAGGGCGTATTATAATGGTGATTAGTTATGAGTTAGCGGTTACGGTAGCTTTACGCCACGGTAAGCAACGTATTGACCGTTCTGGAACCCATGCTTTATAACCGAATGAGTCTATGATAAATCATACATAAATAAAAAGTAAATTACATGCCGCTTGGTGATAGTGAGGCAATGACAGGAGGCTACTGCTGCCCTCTAGCGGCCGGCTGTAAACACTGTAGGAATGACGCGATCGCGCTCCGCCGCAAATGCATGATTAAACACGCGTGTTAGCTAGGAGTCAATACATCTTCTTCGATAGACCTCGTTACTGCAACGATAGAAGCTTATGTATCCGTCGCATCCTACCGAGGATGCAGAAATGGCGCGATCAGCTGCATATATATATATATATATAGTATACTAGTATATCTAGACGCTCATCTCGAACACGCTCTATGCATAATGTATTTGTCTACTTGATGACAAGCGCGAAAGTTAACTTCCGTGAAATAGCTCGGGAATGATGTGGGAACAAGATGCTAAATAATACACATGGGATTAAGTAGCTGTTAAATATAACCTTATCTTAATAACTCGACTGTCAATGGTAAAGCACTCTACCCGTACCCCCACAATTAGTGTAAATTCGCTGTGCGTAAATTATGTAAGCAACTGATATAATATGTAATATGATTCTATAATAATTTATATATATATATATATATAAATAATCAATAATAATAACTATAATCAGGAATAATATACTTTATGTAAGCGGCTGTGCAATGTAATATAATTGCCGGTGATGCTATCGCATAGCTCGATTTCTCTCCCCCGATCTGGCCTTTGATTTACATTATTGTCATTTGTCACGTATGCCATGCGCATCACGACATGTGTTAACGTCAAGCTGATTGTTCGCTACATAACGCCGTGTTTTTTTTCCTGACTACTGTCTAGTGGCTGTGCGAACCACTATCCCGACATGCCAGTGCGGCCGAAAACCTCCTCTGGCCGTCAGATGCGCAGTGGTGACGTTCAAAGAAGACAGCGTGGCGATTCTACTCTGCGCCTGGGTGATTATAACCATTTCATTCTTTCATATCAACCATAAACATTACAAAGATATCCTTAGAAAAAAAACATTATCGAGAAACGTGCTTGGGGTAGCAAAAAAGAGAAGATGAATGCCATGTTTTATGTTTCAAATGATAATTTCATGTATATGTTCAATGCATTTATTATTTTAGCGAGAAATGGGAAAGAAGCTTGATTAAGGACCACCACAGAAGTCTGCATTGTGGTTCCAAGATCAGCACTACTTGTTAAACATAGGTGGTGCCAACTATGGATGACGATCGCTCGCGAATGAATGCACAGCAGATGTAAAGAAACGTTATTTCATAAACATAGCATAGAAATAAGATAATTTGCCCTAAAATTATAATAATAAGCCTATTAATTACAGAAATAATGCTATAAACTATAAAGTAATAAGTAAAGAAGTAGTAATAATAAGTGTATAATTACTAATAAATTGCAAATAAAAAGTTGCATTGAATATAGAAATAATAGGAATTTGCGCATTGTGAATGCTAGATTCAGAGACTATGCAGCTGTATTTTTAATTAACTCGAAACAAAGCGCTAATATATAATATATTATATACTATATATATATAGTTATTATCTGAAATGATAGCAAATGCTATCTTCATTGAATTAAAGTTACCACACGATACCGATTCCGTATGAATGTACACGTGATTAGACGTATTCACAGTGCTAGAATTTGCTCTTGATGTGTACCAATGTTTTAGTATACAGTAATAAACTGCACTAAAACAGTTTGCTGTTACGTCATTATCTTGTACGCGTACTTTAGTCAAAGTCGGCACTTATAAGAAATTAAACTTGGAATCTGAATTTGCCGTGCTATTGCTGCAAATTCACCAAACTATTAACAATTACTTCTCTGTTTAAGTCATTCAAACACTCATGAATGTTTCCTTTGCGTTGATTCAAATTATAAACAAATTATATTATATACTATAATATATTATACTGTATATATATATATATATATATATATATATATTACATCATACAATTATATACTTTTCTCCAATAGTGTCTATACCTCGTGCCAATATTGATATGATAGCAGATGATAGTAATGATACATAACAAATATGTTTTATTTCTGCTGCTCAGAACAGAGTGAACTATACGTGTAAAATATTTAATTCACTTACGTGTGAAAATTTCAACAAGGTAATAAAACATACGGAAAACAACCACAATTCCGACTGCATGCTTGCTGTTTCATCAGCGTACGGAGGTTAGGTCATGCACATGTGGCCGTTAGTTTCCTATTATCTATTATCCAAAGATCGTATAGTGCCGGAGGCCTCCGGCACTATACGATCTTTGCTATTATCTACTTCGACTGTGTCGGGGTGTGCGCCATCTAGTTGTAAGGGTGTTAACATTATGAGTTCTTTCATCACCGGAGATGTTTAACTTGTCGTTCGTCTGCTTTGCATTGAGCATCGTTCCGTTTAATGCATTGAGCATGGATGTGTGGTTGGGCGGACGGACATGCGGGCAGGAAGACACACAGACAGACAGTTAGACAGAGGAACGGACGGGCGAACAGACGGATGGATGGACGTGCGGACCGGTGAACGGACGGACAGACAGATGGATAGCTTACACACGCGGATTTTATTTGACATTAGACATGAACAGAGGACGTATATCATATATGATATACGTGCTCTGGCATGAATCTTCCGACACGCCATAGTACGGCCGCTAGCGGCAGATGCTGAATTTTCGAGAACGCGGCTGTTGCGCACGCCTACCGCGCGCAACCTGTACGGGAAGCCTTATGACACTATGTGTTTCCCGTGGAAAAATGTAAATGCAAATTTTCGTATCTGTGTAACTCGCTATCGCTATTTTTATATTATAACATGCTGTGTTCCTTGTTCTCTCATCTCATCGCACTTCCCCTCATCCGTCGCCATCATATCATCGAGTTCTCGCACATGCACGCACGCGCACGCACAGATACGTCTACGTGCGCATGAGACTCACAAATACGCGCACGAACACGGCAGCGCGCGGGCTATACATGGCAATTCACATCTTTTCTTTGCCAACAAATATGCAACAATTAAGTAGCAACATTGTTTAATTGGGGTTAGTGAGTAAAAGATCAACAATAAAATAAACAATTTCTCAAGGCGTTTCATGAGACATCCGTGATCTTGCACATCTCGACTGACTGCTGATAATTCCAAATTTCAAAGGTTTTGGTAGCAAAATAAAAATGTCAATGCATTGAACTTTTATATCTATCATTGGATCGATTACTCGATGGATGCCCAAAAATATGTTTGCGAGTGCTCTCATCTGCCGGTATATTTTGCCCATTCACAATGATGTTACTGGGGATATGTTACAAACTAGACACTCAGATAGGTTTATTGTTTGCACAAACTAGACATACTAGATATTTGTGGTATTATTTTGACACGGAACTATTCACATGCACTGCGGCCCTCCACAACAGTAGTTGTTTTCCTCCTCTTCTGTATAGGCCGTACGCGGTTCACTATTTTTTCCTGCTCCGTTTTGCGGCTTTGTCACAATTGAATTGATCTGAGACTGGCCACCGGCTGTAGTTTAATAGCTAGTTGCCCATAGGCTATATTGCCGTTTTTTCTCGTCGATGCATTAATTAATTATTCATATATTATTTTTTTATGTGGTAAAACTCATTCATATTTACTCCCTGCCAATTGTATACCCTAAATTTATTTCCACTTTTACATCTTCTTCTACGATTTTTCGATATACGTGTTTTCTTCCCCAAAATGTGCACCCTAGCTGCATTCCTTTGTTTACCCACCGGCTTCTTCCGTCGTTAACTATTCCCCCTTCCCCAGACGGAGATACAGGTGTGATAAAAATCTTAATTGCTTCTAATCATATCAAAACCCAGTCAGGATTATGTTTGCCATCACATGACACAAGTCTATTGCTTAATTCCGGCTAATTTTAATAGCAATTTGCCAGCCTTAATAAATAATTCTGTCTGCCTACTATTATGGGATTGAAAATCTGCGCCGTGACGTCACCTATCACGACAAAGAATTTTTTAGAGGGGTCAGGATTAATGTTTTGTGGACGAATATATGAGCTCTTTTACTATTACCTCATAAATAATAATAACTAAAGTGTAATATACTTATCTGCAAGTTGGAGGTGTTAAAATTTTTAAAACAACGGTTAACCATTGCAATAGTTTAAGCCTAAATATGCGCGCCACCCCTCCAAAAATTAATTAGGTCCGACCATGCGTGCCACAGGAGTATGCCATTTTGTTGTCGCCGAGCGGCGATTAGGATCGTTGTTGAAAAACCTCTTCTTATTGTGTGAAAATAGTAAATGCTTTAGTCAGAAAACCAGATTTTGTGCAAGGAACTTGTGTTGAACTTATAAACCATGTCTTCGCGATCTCGCAGGTCAAAGGAAACGCCAGAACAGGCCGAAGGAAGCAGCACAGACATAGACGATATGGAAAAGGCAAAATCCGATCCCGACCCCACGGGAAGCGATTGTGATGCAAGAGCCCAGGCCCAGGGGACAAACGGTGGTATGAAAATGTTAAACAACGTCGTCGTATTGCTGGTTTCGGCCGCATGAAAAAAATCATCCCGGTATTGTTGTATACAGTATAGTTGTCTTTTTCCCGTCGGTGGTGACGCGAATGGAAAATTCCAGTCATTGCAATACGAAAACCGCGGCAAAAGTGCGTGCAGCACCACGTGTCGGTGGTGTTTATAATCACGAACTTCGCATTTGTGTCTTACTTGACGCGAGCATTATCACGACGAAAGTTACTAAAGGAATTCGCCTCTTAGTCTTATGCGTATTAACGTCTTTCACGTTCCCTATAGACTATACTATACGACCGGTATAGGCCTATATATTCAGATATATATTCACAATGTACATGAAATGAACGAATCGGCCTCGGTCTCGGCTAGGTTGGGTCACATTATTTACTCGAAGGGGGTAAAAGTGTGTATTAAGAATTTTGTATATGCTGAAAGTAAATTACTCGAAGCATAGTGACGTTATAGGCAATAGCAGTACTTATATTGGACCCATTGTGCATCATTCTCCAAGTTTCTTGATTTTCGTTCTTCCTATGTTGAGCTTCATTATCATTGAAACCTACCTGATACCTAATGATGGATAGGAATAGTGTAGCCCAACCTTTCCAACCGAGCTCAGACAATTATTAGCAAATTCTCAGCCGAATAGGACGTTTTATTCCTATATATTGCCTTACATTTTGGTATCTTGACATGTCCATTTTCATAATCCTTATGAATGCTCTAGGATTTTTACCGTAGATTTGCATGAGTTGATTGTTCAGTTCAAGTGCCCCTAGCATATGAGGACTGAAAACTGTTTTGCACACATCATTCTTTCTGTAAACTCGCCCCATCTCACCTACCTTCAGATTTGCATGACTTACAATATCCCACTGTACTTATATTCCCATATAGAGCTATATATATATATGCATGTATATAATTGAACTGTATGTATAGAGCCCATCTTTCTTGTATCAATTTCTGTCTTCTTTTTTTGCACACAGACAGTTGTGAGTCTCCCGCAGTCGAGTGTGACAACACAGGTAGTCTCCTCTTAAATTTTCCACAGCCGGTGCACATAATGATGCAAATGCACGAGCAAACTTTTGTTGCCGACTTCGCTCCAAGCCACTCGGTGTTGCTGGTCGCACGATAGCACTTGGTGGCGGCATTCGGAGCAAAAGTGTGTGCGTGCGTTCACGTCGTTACGGCCGGTTTGTAGCATGCCTAACCCGATCGTGATCGCACGAACTATCAAACTAACAAGAAAGGTAACTCGGGGTCTCATAGTTTGCGGCTTGTCGCCAAAGACGAGTGGCAGACGAGCTCGATCCATCAACCTTGCCGCTTTACGCTCCGTTTGTCATTATATACTCTGTCTCGTGCTGCGTCATGGCCTACCCATCGCTGCACAGCGCCTCGCTCATGGCCGCCCCATGCCCGTCACCTGCTGCACCCCGTCCCTTGCAGTGCCACGCCCTATCGGTCATCACGTCACCAGACTACCGGTGATCACGCTTAAAGGAACGCACTACCCGATAAGTTATCGGGGCATGCTTTCCTGGAAGATTTCTTGTCACTTATGTGAACGTTGCTCATAATTGCCGTTCGTTCTGCGATCGACAGCGAAAACACGTATCACAGACTGTTCTCGCTTTCCAACGTTCGAACATATCGATGTGTCCGACGATGTTCAATAAATTCGTAATTGCATCGATGAGATGGCTGTATGGGGAAAGTGTGCATCGCAATCTCGCGCTAACGCCATGCCTTCCACACGTTCGCCTGCCCCTTGTAGGTTGTTAGTCGTGGTGTGCGTGACGGTAGCTTGCTGGGGAATGCATCTGCTACACTGCTGCATCCACGTGTGGTGACAGGGTCGGTGACGGTTACGTAGTGCCGGCCATTATGTCGGCAGGGTTGTGGTGATGGGTTACGTGCCTGCTTCCATCATGTCAGCAGGTTGGTGCAGTGACGTTACGCTGCCTGCGTTCACATGTCAGCAGGGTGTTGGTGATGGTTACGTGTCTGCCATTCACATGTCAGCAGGGTTGCGTGACGCTCATGTGACTGCGTTCACATGTCGACAGGGTTGGCTGATAGTCACGTGTCTTGCATTCACATGCTGGCAAGGTTGTGTGACGGTATGTGCCTGCTGTTCACATGTCGACAGGTTGTGGTGTACCGGTCATTGTGCCTGCATTAAATGTCAGCAGGGTTCGCGTGACGGTCATGTGCCTGCCATTCACATGTCTAGCAAGGGTTGGTGATGGGATTACGTGCCGCGCTTCAACATGTCGCAGGTTGGTGATGGTCACGTGGCTGCATTCACATGTCGGCAGGGTTTTGTGACGGGTTACGTGGTCTGCCATTCAACATGTCGACGAGTTTTGCAGCTGACCGGTCATGTGCCTGCCGTTCACAGTGTCGGCAGGGTTGTGGTGAGCTCATGTGCTGCATCCACATGTCGGCAGCGGTTGAGTGACGGTCATGCGCCTGGGCATTCACATTGTTCATAGCAGGGTCTGGTGACGGTCATGTGCCTGCGTTACATGTTCGGCAGGGTTGGTTGATGGCTCACGTTGTCTGGCATTCACATGTCAGCAGGCCGTTTGGCTGACGTCATGTGCCTGCCGTTCACATGTCAGCAGGACGTTTGGTGACAGTCCGTGGCCTGCATTCACATGTCGGCAGGGTTGGTGACGTAGGTGCTGATTTCACATTCGCAGGGTTGGTTGACATGCGTCACGGTGTCTGATACATGTCAGCAGGACGGGTGACGCGTCATATGCCCTGCCGTTACCATGTCGGAGGGTTGGTGATGCGTCACGTGCTGTCTGCAGTCACATGTCGGCAGGTTGTGGTGACGGTCACGCTGCCTGCATTACATGTCAGCAGGTGTTGGTGACGGTAACATTGTGCTGCGTTTCACATGTCGGCATGGGTTGGTGATGGTCGTGTCTGCATTCAATGACGCAGGGGTTGGTGTAAGTTAAGGTGCCTGCATTCAATGTCGACATGGGTTGGTGAACGTTAGGTTGCCTGCTTATGTCACAGGTTGGTGACTCGCTTACGTGCTGCGTCATAGGCCGACCGTCGTTCGTGGCGGGGTAGGTTGCATGGACATTGCTTACAGCGCGTAAGTGACACGTATAGCTGACAGGGTTGTGGACTATGTGGTTTACACGTTTTAGGTGACAGCGGTCTAACCCGATAATTGTTAAGTGACAGGGGTGATGCAGTCGGTGACTGGCGTTTGGTGAACAGTGGCTTGCTGAGTGCAACTATTTGTGTCCCCTAACCTAATGTTTCTCGATGTTCGTTGCTTTGCAGATGGAGGACCCTGACTCGGGAGATCGCGACAAACGGGAAGAGGAGGAAGAATGAGGACGAAGGAGTCATCGGCACGACGAAGAACGCAAGATAGTGAAGAAAGCGATCGAAGCACGTTTGTAAACTGCGCCCGCACTCCGCGGTAACTTCGATTTAAATGCCGTTGTCACGCGCAGTATGAAGACATCATAGATTGAGCGAGGGTTTAGTGGTGTTCAGGCAATGTGGAACTGATGGGGCAACGTACCACAAAGATATTGCGATCACTACCTCCACAACCCATCACACCACTTAATTTGTGCGGCGTTCATTAACAAAGTTGACTTAGAATTGAAACAGACATTGATGTGCATAATATTTATGTCGTTGAATATTAAATGAATTGCATTATGAAGTCTAATTAACTTAGAAAACCGCATAATTTAATAATAAAATAAAGATTCCACTGGCAACTTTCTCTACCTATGTAAGTTATTGGCCTGTAAGTGTAAACTCATTTTCTAACATGCTGTATCGCTGATAATAAGTAAAGTCGTTGGTGAATTTCTAGTTAAGTTGATTAAGACTATATATGGATTTCCTCGTGAACAGGAATCCTAACCTTTGATAACCCACATGTATCAAAACTCCTGTATAGCGGTTGAGTGGCAAAATTCTGCCCAAATACTTTTACATTGTTGTTGGTTTTGCACAGCGCCAGGTCTGAGAGCATGTGGTTGTATTAACTATATATATGATCTATTCATATGCTGCTCTTAGTATATTTTGTCTTCTGTTGTTTGACAGTTTCAATTGCAGTTGGCACGATGTGATTAATTCGTTAACGTTTTACAATTGTGTTTGCTTCACTCAGCTGTAACATAAAGGGCAATAAGCAGAGTGTGTCTAACTTGACATGCAACGACGCTAATTAGTTGCGAACTTTGCGTGGTTTTGGTTTTGGCCGCGGATAGCCCCGCATTTAATATTCTTATTTTGAATCGCCATCCTCCGCTTACATGGATCCACGTGCCACCTCACCTGACTTCCTTCGCTAATAGACTCATAATTAACCATCTAGCGATGTTGTTGCTGCTGCTGCTGCACAGGCAGGTCCGGATGGGCCTGGGAAAGCGATGAGGAAGCGAGCCAAGAAGAGCTCTACAGACAAAGGCAGCCACACAGGTTTTGCCACTTCTGCTTCGGATACATGCACGATGGGGGGGGCGGTTATCACATATCCAAGGATTATCAGATTAATAGCCCTCTAGTGATTGTAAACTGGCCGTTGCAAGCGCACAGTTTGCCCGCTTACAGCGTCGTGCAGGTTATGTACCGTTAGCGCAAAAAGTTTACATTCACACTAGCTGTGTGCGTGTCCAGGGGTATAAATTGACTTTTGAACACAGGAGTCCCTACCTTCAAAAAGAGGGAGTCCGCAGTCTAAAGTTCAAAATGAAAGATATTAACCATAACACATGCTTATTTTGAAGATTCGTGCAGTTGCACGTCTGCCAAATTTTCTTTGGACATTTGCTGAAAAAATACGGTAATTTCGCGAGGCCCTGCGCTGGAACGAACTACTAGTACCACTGGTTAGTATAGTATGGCAGAATTTTCAGGTAGTCACACGGACTCCTGCATGTGTCAAATCAGGGAGTCCGACAGTAAATCGGGGAGTATTTGACTACGGACTCTTGTTAATTTCGCACCCTGGTGTCTGTGTATGAGTGTGTGCGTGTGTGTGTATGGGCGTGTGCGCATGCATGTATGTGTATGGGCGTGTGCGCATGCGTGTGTATGTATGGGCATGGGCGTGTGTGTGTGTGTGCGTGCGTGCGCGCGTGCGTCTGTGCGTGCGTGTGTATGGACGTGTGCGTGTGCACGTATGTTGGTATAATCGTAGTAAGTTTTCATGCTGTGATTGGAGTCTAGTCTAAGTCGACTTCTCCTCCTGAAATGACCAACATGCCGAGGCAACTGCCAGATTACGAAACCTAGTCGTCTGCGAGAATAGCGCGTGGTGAAGGTCACATGCCGTGTTGCGATGTAGGCGTGGGCAGGTTGAGCTGCTGCAGCTGTTTCTCCTCGCGTGCCACGCCCCAGACTTGGACGCCACTGCGTGCGTCGTAAATGAACTGATGATGCATTAAAAAAAAAAACCCCGATCTGATGGGACTTCCGCATGCGATTACCCATGTGTGTGTGTGTGTTTGCTGCATTCACGGTATGCAATGCGTAGGGCCGCGCTAATAAAACGCCGTTGATTATCCGGGTCGTTAATCATTAAGATCTGGCGTGTGAGACGGTGAGGGTCAGAGGTGAGTGTTTGTAATTGCACGATTCCTGTAAACGACAGTGCAGAGCCGTATAAAAATAGTCATTTTTGAACAGTGGGAAGCGAAACTTCTCTGTACCTTCATCTGTACCCTCATCCATTTGGGCACCAGCCGATGTGGTTATTTTCACTGGAATCTGTTACATGATTTTTTAATTTTTAACAATTTTTCAACAAATTTCTTTGGTGAAATTGTGAAGACCTTTTGCAAGGTGCTGTTGCTATGCAGATTGTTCTGAGCTGATCTGATTACAAGCAAAACTGATTGTTCCGTATCCTTGTCTGCTTTCAGTCCGATCAGGAGGACAATGAGAGCGAAGAGGAGACGAAAGTCACGAAGAAGTCTAGAAAACACAAGGCTGCTTCCTCATCGGGCAAGGTACGCGTCGTTACACCTCGATCCCACGTCTCGTGCCAAACACGGCGTCAGAGTTACGTGGCGTGATTTTAAATTTGACAAGGGCGGTGCGCCACTGCTTTTTTTATGTATAAGAAACCCTGCTTTTAGTATTTACGGTTACATAATCACTTTACAACGACGTGTCAACGACGGGAAGTCGACCACGGCCGGCGCATGCTGCGTGAACGAGCCTCGCATTTCCATGGCAGCCTCCGCCGGACTTGGCAGCGCGCGAGTTCCGCGTGGCGTGCGACTTCCTGGGGCCAGTTCTCATAAACAATATCATTAGTCTTAACATTAGTCTTGACAATAACTTCGACTCGTAGACCGTTGACGGAAACGTCTTAAAGATACGAGAATGAAAAATCCTAGCAAATTTCCTCTTAATATTACAAGATCCTTGACCCTCTCGTAACTTAAGATTAAGATGAAAATAATGCATTTTTACAAAGAATTGCAATTGTAGTGATATTATATTTTATATTGAACGGTAAAACGTGTGGTTTTCATGAAAAACTCGCCAGAAACATTACTTATCTACCAAAACAAATGTTTAGAAGTGGTGTTTGTTCTCTTGTTTTGGATATTTTGATGAGCCATGACGCTCACGTCTTGTGTTACTGTGCAGAATCATTACTTGCAGTGCAGAATAAATTCCTGACCGTGTCATTTTTTCATCAGATATTATTTGCATGTGGTTAACCATCATAACATGCATAAATTACGGTCACGTACAACAAATGTGTATGAGTTTTGTGATCGATTCTCATCCAATAAGCAGCCTGTGACAGCAAATTATCAAAAGTTCCTGTTATCGCAAGTTTTCTCATAGCTGTGACGCGGCGTTTCCTGTTCTTCGCGTTCAGCGCGCACGCGTTTGTGCATTCGTTTTTTTAGTTTTCTTCTTATTATTATTTCTTCCCCTGCGCAGAAGACGTCGGCGGACCTGTGCGAGAGCTTCGGCCTCTCGAAGGTCGACCTTGAGTACACGGACGCCGACTTCAAGAACCTCACCAACTACAGGGTGTTCACAGGTACGTGCAGGTCGCAGAGGCGTGCGGGTTGCAGAGGCCCAGGGGTCGTCGAGATGGATTGACGAGGCGTGCAGTTTGGCGAGACGCGCAGGGGTTGCCGAGACAGGTCGACGAGGCGTGCGGATCGCCAAGACGCAGGGGTCATCTGGGCGTGCGGCGTTGCAGAGGCCCAGGGGTCATCTGGGCGTGCGGCGTTGCAGAGGCCCAGGGGTGACCGAGGCGCGCGGCGTCGACAGCATCCCTGCATGCGGTTTTCTCGTGTAGTCTCGATGTTGACGATTTTCTCTGGAAACGTGGAAAACTTACAAGTTTCTAATATGCCGTATGTAGAGGTCCGGTTTGCAAGAGAACGTTCGCATTGAGAATTTTTTCCGGACAACGGACTCCTATGTTTGTGTAAGAGTGTAGTCCGCCTCATTGCAGTGCGCGTACTGCATGTGTCTGGGCTAGTACGTCTGCGTGAGTGTGCGTGTATACGTCCATGTGTATTCACATGTGCGTCTGTGCGCACACGTGCATGTGAGTCTACATGGATTTGAGTGTGCACGTTTGTGCGTGTACGTCTGCGACATTGTGTTGTTATGCAGCCATAGCTTGCTGCATTCGTTAAACTTGCGTTTGTCGGTCAGGAATTTCAATGAAATTTTTGCATGAAATGCAGAGAATATACGCCCCCTCCTGGCGGAAAACCAGAAACTTTCACCGAGCAAGATGAATCAGCTGCTACAGGCTTATTGGCGGGAATTCACCGAGCAGAACCCATACAAAGATGAGGTGGAGGAATCCATTGGTAAGCGAGTGAGAGAGAAAGAAAGGGAAGGGGAGGGAGAGACAGGGAGAGAGAGAAAGAGAAAGCGAGAGGGAACAAAGGAGACAGAATCTTATCCTAGTACCAGCTTTCATGCCCCGATGACGTTTAAAGCCGTCTTTCCTCTGTGATGAATTTTAATGCTCTATATCCAGTCAAGATTTAATATATTTTAACGTCATCTAGCCCACCATGATAAATTTTCAGGCCCTCTA